CGGGCGAAGCGGCGGGCGGAAAGCTAGTTTATTTATAATTATGTAAGAGCATAATTATTAAAGTCGAAGTCAAACATTCTTTATTTGTGTGGACCTATATTAACGAGAGATTACAAGAGATTACAAGGCGTCAAATATTTCAAGAAAAAAATTAAAAACTATTATAAAGCTAAATTTTGCTCTCATGGAGCCTTTACCTACTCTGACAAATTAAGACTTAGAGAAGAAACTAATAATAAAACTATTTAACTGTCCTGCAATGAAAAGCTTGATCGGGTACAACACCTCAAGTTATTTCAGAACTTGATTTCATTAAAAGACTCCGAATATCAAATCGCTTAGGTATCTAAAGTCAAACGATTCTGAAATGTCAAGTGGACTAATGAATAACCCATTAAGATAGTAGCGCCCTCCTGTCAATGACATACCTGGAACGATAGAGTTTTGAACAACTAATAAAAATGCTTTGTCCTAAATGACTGACGGATATCGTAGAGACCTGAAAGTTGGAAGGTGTGTTCTTTTTATGACGTAGGCATCTCATAAGAAAAGATTTTCCGAAATGGGGTCATGAAATGAAGGGGGTGAAAAAAGGGGGCAAAGTTTGTATGGGACAAAGTGATTCCTTGGTTCAATCTACTTGAAATTTAGTTTAACAATACCTTAATATAATTCATGAAAGACGTGTGGAACGGGTAGAAAGTAATTTTGGCAGTCATTTTCTTCGAAGTTGATATCAATACTACTTAGTGCCTTTGATTTAATTACTTTTTATTTTTACAAGTGTTTGAAAACTCCATTTCAGATTGTGTTCAATGTCAAGTGAAATCTCAAATTGAAATGTCTCAATCTCAATGAGGAGACTCTGTATTTATTCCTAGAATTCCCCAAACACCGTCAAATTACCCTTTCGAATTCAAGACAGTGCAGTTTCCCATCAGTCTGCTTCGTAATGACTATAAACAAAGCTCAAAGTCAAACTCTAGGGACCTCTGCTTAAACTCCCATGAGTGCACAGAGGTACGCAGGTAACCGCGTGTGATGCTTATAGCAATTTTCGATAGGTACAGAACCCCGTACATACGTCATACATATTATAGAAAGAAAACACCCAGACCAATACAAACAAATATGTTTCTGCAATTTTAGTATGATATTTTTATTTATTAATAAACAAAGAGACTGAACAAAATTGATGCGTACCTATACTGATTAATGTTATTAACCACATGCAAAGCTTCGTGAATTGCAACAACTATAATTAAATTTATTATCCAAGCTCTAAATAATCGCTACTAAGAGTAACTTATCATAAAAAAAAATTCCAATCGCTCAAGCTCCCAAGGGCCTACCGATAGGTCGGGTGACGTAATCTTGAAATTCTTTAAGCCGGCGCAGAACTTCCAGAAGGTCGGGCGACGCCACGGCCACTTTGAACAGTGTTTACTTCTGCAGTTATATTTTATATTTATTCGATTCTAGAATATATTCCCAAAAAGTCTGAAAGGTGTTTTAATTTGTATCACTTGGATATGATTTCTATTAGAAAGTGTTGTGAGTGTGACGCTTGAAGGGAAGGAAGTCAACCTAACCTAACCAACTGCGTATTTCTATACTGTGTAGCTGGAAATTGTGGCGGGAGCTCTTTGACGCGCTGTTTTCGGCGAAGAATTGCGCGCGCAGATTTTGACAGCGCGAAATACCTACTTTAGAAGAAATACCAAGCCTTAAGAGCAAAATGACGAATTTTGTAAGAACTATTTATTAGTCTAAACTAAACAAATAAAGAAATTTTGACTTTGACTTTGACCTACAAAAACACAAAAGTCCGATCACATTTCTTTATTCACGGAAATATATTATACCTACTCGTAGTAACGAAACTTGCAATATCGTCTTATCAAACTTTAACAACGCTATCTGATAATAATAAATTCAGCACGGGCGGAGTCGTAGGCAAAGGTGAGTTTGATCGCGGCCTTTATCTCGGCATGCGCATGCACTGGAATTAACTATCCATTTGCATAGCATATGCACGCCCATTGCACTGCATGGATAATCGCCCGTCCGGTTGTTTAGACATTATCATTATTTAGGCCAAGTTATTAATCTGCCATTACAGATAAGTGTACGGTCGCATAAATTATCATGTACATAATATTTACATAGTTGCGTACCCATTTCATTAATCATTCATTATTATAAGATTATCGTGATTATCATTATTGAACCAGAAATGAAAATTATCCAGGGAGAATATTTCTGGTGTGGATTTGCTGGATTTCGTTTCATCCATGAAGATGTGCCCCACCAATTTTTTGTCGAGGGTAGCGCGGGGTGCGGGGAGTTTGATCCGAGCAATCCCAGTATCATTATTATAGTGAGCGTGTGCACTCATGGATAATTTAGTGTGTACCGATAACACTCAAACATTAGCGGAAGAATGGTGGGGCGCGTGTTCGTGGATCAAACGATCTATAATGATGATCAAGATTAAAAATGTTAAAAACTTATTTCTTTCCTAGTTAATAATAAATCAATGATCTTCAAACGAATGGACTGCTATTGCTCAAATAAAGCCATGAAAGTACTTGTACGAGTATCATTATTATATTGACGTAGTTAGTAATCTTTACTGCGTAGGAAACATCCCTTAATTACGTGGTAAGGGCCCGAACATACGTTAAAGTTTGTCACGGTCTCGCATTAAGTCCGGCGATGACTTAATGGGAAGTGTTTACTGTTTAACGTTCTAAAATTAACTTTGATGAACCTAAGTCAACAGAGCACGTTCCTGTTTGGATAGGTTATTTTGGCTCAATTACGTTTAGTAAGTACAAGACCTTTCTCGTTGCAACCCGTGACTTTTTTTGCCAATCCACTAGGCCTATGCTAGAATATTGGATGTTACTAAGATCGATATTGTTTAAAAACGAGGATGAGAAAACAAACTATGTGCCTTTAAGTAAGAAAGTAGGTATTACTCGTATTTTAAGCTTTAATTTTCTCTTTCTTTATATTGTAAAATTGGTTGATTGAACCACTGAAACGGCAATCACACTAGTTGAACGGAACTTATAAATTGATCCCACTTGTCGTTGTCGGTTGCTGGTAACTATTGCAATAAACGACTCTACTTTCATGAAAAATACTGTCTATAAAATACTTTTTTTTGCCCTACTGCAGTCTACGCATGAGACATAGAAAGTCCCATTAGTCGTCGACATGATTGTCCTACTAATATTATAAATGCGAAATTTTTGGATATCTGGATGTCATGATGTCTGGATGTATGGATGTTTGTTACTCTTTCACGCAAAAACTACTGACGGATTTTGTGGAAACTTTACAGTATTATTGTTTATAACCCAGATTAACATATAGTGAACAGGTCTGTACTAGGTAGCTACAATAAAACCGTGGACTGTATGTACTATATCATTCTATTTCGCTTTCAAACGAGTTCTACTACATTGTTCTACTTTGATAGACCTAGACAGACTATGACAGACATATAATTTTGGGCTCCTCTTGACCCAAGGAAATGGAAAAAATCAAATTGAACCGCGTGTTAATCTACCCTCAGTGCCATCTAGTATCACTTTGTAACAACTAAAACCCAACATAAACAACAGTACTATCTTTTGATACTAGATGTCACTTTATACACATATGTGACTTCAACATGCCGCCCACCAAGGACAGAATGTCCTTAACTATGACCCATACATGTCTAGTATAAAACCTCTCGTATAAAAACCCTCACCTCGCGTATAAAAACCCATGTTTAAGAACCCCTCGTATAATAAACTCTTTACATATTAAAACCACTCGTTTAACTAAACCTTAAAACTAGTAAATCAAATAATATAACATTCCTTAACAGTTAATTACTTATTAACCAGTGAAAAACCAATTTTAAAACTGCACATTTTACATATACAAAATACAAGTCATCCCATCAGTTCAGGGATTGTCCTAGAAAATCTTGCCAAACAACCACGTTCTTGGAGACAAGTTTATCATCCTACACCAAAATTGTATCCCAGACTGCCGGCTCAGAACTTTTATGAGCCTGTTAATAAATCTTGTATGAAAATTGTAAAATGTCTATAAAATATCAATTGAACTTATTACCTACCTAAAAATCACGAACTGAACAAGAGAGTGAAGAACTGTTTTCTAACAAAGATTGGTCTACCGTACCTATATGAACATAAAATCCTTTAACTTCGTGAGTTTAGTGTATGATAGTTTGTTCTCTTAAAAACCCTTGAAAAACTTTTATACACACTACTAACAACTTAGTCATTCAAACAGCTCCACAAAACTTAAACTGCGATATACCTACTCATTTGTCACCGAAGTAACGGAGTTTTCACACTAGCAAACTAGCCCAACGGGAATTTCCCTGATGCATGATTACGCGTAAATAAACCCCAGCAGCGTAAGCAACGTTGAAGGCATCTGAGAATCCCTGCAGCCCTGCAAAGCATCTTCTGATCGAGTGCATACCACCGTGGATACTTCAGCTAAGTGTTGACTCGTTAAGTAACGTAAGTATTCCAATCTTTTATTATATCCCTAGTAAGTTCTTGCTCTCACCCTATTCCAGCTATCCACACTGCTTGATAACTTCTTCACTTAAGCAAGTTGCTATCCATCCTAATAGATTGAATAGACGCGATACAACCGATATAATTTTTCTTTTTACAGGTGCAGACAGCAGCGGCAATTCACCGAATACTGAAATTCATCATTGTTTCTGTTTCAGGTAAGTCCCTTCCTTTTTTTTTTTTTTATTACATCCTTTTAGTTTCGTTAAAATCCCAGTTGTCCTTCTTAGTCCTTTTGTTCCTTTATTATACCCTTTTGATCTTTTTGTTCTAATAACCATTTTTGTCCTATAAATCCCTAATCTGTACTTTAAATCCCTAATTTGTACTATAAATCCCTTTTTGTACTGTAATTCCTAATTTGTTCTAAATTCCTAATTTGCTCTATTCTTTCTTCCCCAGTTTAACTCCACTTGCGGATGCGTCAAACACCACTTTCGCAGTTGATCTATTTCCCTTCATATCAGCATGTGGTAAGTATACTGCTTGTTCTGTGTTGTACTTAGTTTCCTGTTTTAACTTCATGTGTTCTAGCTGTGTATTATCCTCTGTGTATCTTCTGTTCTTTAGCTTGTTGTATCCGTAATAAATCTTCGTTCTAAATGTGTTCAATCTTCTGACTGACGTTTCCTCTTGGTTACAGGAAGACACTTCTTCGTGGTATGGTAACTTCACTCCGTATTCTTCATTTGCACTCCGGCGAGTGGTTGCTGCAAAGATTTCTTCGCGTCGCTGTTTTTTAGATGTTAACTTTCTTGACGTGAATAAAGTTTCCATATCCAAAACCTTAGAGCGTTTTAAATCCAAATCCTCTACACACGCATGCAACACTGTAACACGATTTTCATCAGCAGCTGTATTTATCGGTCCAGATATTATCCACCCAAGCGTGGTGCACTGTGCTACTGGCGAACCCGTAGGACCCCGTAACAACCCATTCCTTAATATCTGACTACATACGTCTGCTCCCAGAAGAATGTCAATCTTGTTCGGTACGTTAAATTGCGGATCAGCTAAATAAACCTGCGATAATTCAACCCAATTGTCTAAAGAAACTCTCTGTCCTGGTAAGTATGACGTAATGTCGCTAAGAACATACGTCTCTACCTCTATCTCAAAACTCGGATCTAGTTTAGATTTTAGTGTAAGTGAAACCATAGATCTAGAAAACACAGAAGGTTTCTCATCACCCAAGCCTGATATGACATTAGTCACATTTATTTTCTTTAGTCCCAAACCTTGGACCGTAGCTTCTGTCACGAACGAAGCTTGAGAACCTTGATCTAATAAAGCCCTACATACGTGATATTGGCCTGTCCTAGACTTTACGTCAACCAATGCTGTTGCCAATAACACATGACTGCTCTTAGTCTTCGCGCAACATGCCATGTGATTTGCAGTCTCAATTGGCTGCGTATCATGTTCTAAACCTTTCAGATTGTTGTCCTTCCCCGCACCTTCTTCTACTACTTGACCTAAAAACCCTGAACCAGCAGTCGAAGTGGGGGCTTTCCCTGAGTGAAGCAAAGAATGATGCCGTTTTTTACAAACTCGACAATTGATGGGTGATCGGCAAAACTTTACACCATGGTTGCTTCCTAGACAGTTATAACACATTTTATTTTTTATAACAAAGTCACGTTTGTTCTCATAACCCAAATTCGCAAACTCTTTACAAAAACATAATTTGTGTTCCTCACCACAAAACTCGCAAGATAATTTTTGAACATTAGTCGCATGTAAAACCCTAGTATGACTAACATTCTGCCCGGTATGCACATTGGACGCTGACTGTTTACTGAAATGTTTAGGTTCGATACATTCCAAAGCCCGAAACCTATCATACAAGAAATCTTTCATTTGATCGTAAGTTGGTAAACAATCAGACGCTACTGTTATAGCAATGTGCAGTTCCCACTCCTTGCGTGTCTCGGGGTCTAGTTTTGAACTCAACAGATGTATTATCATTATATCCCACGTAGACACATCTATTCCTAAATTGATTAACGCGTTTAAACAATCTGAGGTCGTATCAATAAAGTCCTTTAATATGCCTGCAGATACAGTAGTAGCATTACGTTGACCTAGAAACCGTTTCAAAATGTTGTGTGCCAAATATTTTTTATTACTGTATCTTTGTTCTAACAGTATCCAACATTGATCGTAATTAACCTCAGATACAGGTATGTACCGAATAAGTTGTTCGGCCTCTCCCGTCAAATACCCCTTTAGATACTGTAGACGTTGAACGTTGTCGAGAGATTGGTTTTTGTGTATCATTGAAACAAATAAATCCCTAAAAGTTATCCATTCTGAGTAGTTACCTCCAAACTTTGGAATATGAATCTCAGGTAACTTTACTCGAGATTGAGATGGATAATTTGGCTTACTATTGTCTACTGACTCTGTGGGTGTTGACATAGCAGATATACGTTGTTTCAATTCACTCTTGTAACTCAAAACCACTTGTTCTGTTTGATCGTAAACGTCGTTAACTATGTAATCTGTCTTTTTTAACAATTTTGGATCTGATATCTGGAATAACCCCTTATGCCCTTGTCTAAATTCAGCCCACATCTCTATCAATGCCTGTAATCTGTTGTCTATGTAATCTCTAGTCAAGCGTTCTTTGGGAGACTTTTTATAATTAACTTCAGCTTTGAAAATCCTGGATGATAAATCATCCTGATAGTTAATTAGAGATTCCATAGTAGCCATTGTTAAATAAATGATTACAAAACAAAAATAAAGTCCAAAAATTAAAACCGAAAAAATAACTTAGAACTTTTTCTGTGTACTTACACTTCTCGAAAATTTTACAAGTGTTTGAAACATTAAAATTCTATGGAAAATCGGGCATAGAGTCCCCGTACCTTCGTTTTTTCCACTTAAATTCTAAGTCCTAACTACTTCTAAAATTATTCTAAGTTCTAAAAATCCTATCAAAATAAATTTAAGTTCCAAATATTTTAAAGTTATAAAGTTCCTTGAAATAAGGTTGAAATTTGCCTGCTTAGTAAACGTCAAAGTACTCACGGTTCGCACTTCACTCACACATAGATTGCACTGAAAACCTTCTTTGTCGATGTGTAGTGAAGCCCGTAGATCCCGTTGTCCTCAGTCGCTGATCCAGCTGAGCCTGCAGCAGGCCACAACCAGGAACTCCTTGCTTGCCTCAGCTCGATTCAGCTCCTTGTTCCACCAACCAGCTCTTCATTCAAGAGCTGTTCTGCACTCCAAGAACCAGCTCTTCTTCCAAGAGCTGTTCTGCTCTCCAAGAACCAGCTCATCATCCAAGAGCTGTTCTGTTCTCCAAGAACCAGCTCATCATCCAGGAGCTGTTCTGTACTCCTCCTACCTACCACGTACTCGGTTTGTTGCAGCGATCCACTGCGAGTACGGGTTACAGCGGTTTTCACCACTGTGCACTCAAAAATAGCCTTTATATTCCGGCTCGTCAAGGACCATGAACAGGTCTGTACTAGGTAGCTACAATAAAACCGTGGACTGTATGTACTATATCATTCTATTTCGCTTTCAAACGAGTTCTACTACATTGTTCTACTTTGATAGACCTAGACAGACTATGACAGACATATAATTTTGGGCTCCTCTTGACCCAAGGAAATGGAAAAAATCAAATTGAACCGCGTGTTAATCTACCCTCAGTGCCATCTAGTATCACTTTGTAACAACTAAAACCCAACATAAACAACAGTACTATCTTTTGATACTAGATGTCACTTTATACACATATGTGACTTCAACATATAGGCTATAATTTATGACAATATGTGACCAACTAAATTTCAATAAATAAATAAGACGTGGGTAAAAAGCGCCATCTATCGTCATTGGTTAAAATCTACAGCGCTGGACAAAAAATTTTGACGTTCGTAAATTTTCATGCGGGGAAAGCCGTTAAACGTCACCTATCAACATCATTAGTAATTAAACGAGGTCCATGCGTACGAAGTCACGGGCAGCCGCTATAGTTTTGAAATAAAGCCGCCGGCTGTCAGCGAGCTTAGTGAGTAGTCTTTTACTGTATATCCTTACTCTTTCATCATCATTATCATTATAATACATGCCATAAATCACCGTGGAGATAATTAGTGTAAATTCTAAAGCAGACGAAAAGAAACTCCTTTTTCGTGAAAGAGATTTACTTAATGAAAATCAAAGATAAGGCGGACTTTGGGCGCGGATTCAATCCATCAATGACAGGCTTGGTTAATTGTCTTCCGTAGTAAAAGAAACTTGGATAAGGTAATATTGTTTTAGGCTCAAGATAGGTATTTCAACTCGAGAGTTTTCAGGACAATTGAGCGATAGAATAGTTATTTCGAACGAATATTTTCTTTACTCGTGCGTTAAGTAAAATACAATTCGATGGGTGCCTGGAATAAAGCCGCAATCGACAAAACGCAATTTTACAGGAGAAGAGATTTAGTGAAATTTTTGAATAATAACTAAACTACGAGGCGTATCCAAATGGTTTGTATATCAAACGATGCGTTGTTTTTTCTGGAGTAACATATAATGTGCATAAGGTTATAGTGCTTAGAATATACCTTAAAAAAACCGGCCAAGT